ATTAGCTGAGGCCGGTTGGGGGAGGAGGGGGTGTTGTGTGCACATGGCAGCTGGGCAGAGATGTGGAGTACAGGGTGGCCGTGATGAGCTCAAGGGAGCTGAGGGACATTCTTGGGGAGGCAGCTGGGAACACCAGGGGCGACACAGCTGGCAAGCTGGCTGGGAGACCTGAGGCAGTGTCTGGGAAGAGGGGAAGAACTGGGTCTGAGGTCAGGGCCATGAAGCCCTGGGTTCAGCCTGGAACACTGACCTGGCCCCCAAAGTCCTGGATGAAAGGCCCTGGCATCTGCCCTGGAGCCTCTGCCTCACTTCGGAGCAGGCACCTCTGGGGCCCCCACCCCACTGCAGCAGTCTGAGAATTCCCTGTGCCTCCCTTCAAGGCCTGGAGGGTTCCATGTCCCCACGAGACTGGGAGACCAGCCCTGGCCCAAGCAGTTGGCAGATCCCAGTGTTGGAGGAGGCTGGCTCCTGCCCTTCAACTGGCCCCTCACTGCCCAGCAGGAGCCCAGCCTGACCCCTTAACACCCTGCAGACTTTCTCTGGAGACTCCACTCGTTTCTGTTGTGGGCAGCGGGGTGTATGGTCATGGTGAATGTGTAGCGAGGAGCCCCACACTTCAGGCTGAGGCCCGGCTCTGCCCCTTACTAGCTGAGCAGCCCCGACAGGGCCTTAGTCTCACTGAGCCTCAGTCTCCTCATCTGTGAAATGGGACATGACAATGCCCTCCCTCAGGGATCTTCGAGAATTAAGTGAGAGGGAGCATGTCAAATGACGGAAACAGTGCCTGACACGGTGACAATGAGTAGAGGATCGCTGCCCACCCTGCCACCTTTCCTCCTGTGTCCTGTCCCCTGTGGTCACTGCCGCCTCTCTACTTCACTGATCTCAGCTGGTTCCAAGGCAGCAGCTCCCTGAGCTCCGACAGCTTCGGCAGAAGGATTCTTGGGAGTCTTGTTAGAAGAGACTGAGCCGGGCCCCTGGTCCCCGCGCCAGCCCCAGCCCGTCTCACCTTGGCCCAGCCGCTGCGAGTTCTGCTGCTCCTGCTGCTGCTGGTGCCGCCTCGCCAACTTCTTCATCTGCAGAAGACGCAGTTCGTGCCAGTCCCTGACCCTTCCCGCCCCCCCG